GAGAACTTGGCTTAGTCTGGCAGTGAGAGAACCAAAGTCTGTGTGTTGCCAACGGATGCATCCCTGCTCTTTATGGGCTGAGAGTTCTGTAGGAGGCAGAGAGAAATTAGACATTTGCAAAACCTCAGGAGTAGGGGTGGTATGATGTGGTCCATAGAAATTTAGGCGCAAATCAGTTAAAAGAAGATGGGGAGGAAGTTGAGGTAAAAGTACTCAAAAATGGGATTATGTTCATTAAACCGGTCAAACGTGGTTTGCGCCAAATGCTGGCAATGTTGGATTAGGATTTGTCCCCCGCACTTTTTCTTGCAAGCAATGCTTGATGGGCGTAGTGATCATAAAACATCTTTGTTTCTTGGAACTTATAAAAAGAAATACATTTTTAGCATACAGCAAGTTGCCTTGAGCAGCTTAAAATGAGAGCCTTTTCAAGTGAAGGTTATATTGAGAACTCAGCTCAGCTAATGAAGGTAAGAACAGGTTTCAAGTCTAGCCTCGTGCTTCCTGGAATGGCCCTGGCCCCTCACACATTCCACCCACCACCACAGGGCTCCCAACACCTCCCCACAGGATTGCTATAAGGCCTGGGATAAATCATCCAGCCTTCCTTAATTGACTCATGCTTAAAATGGAAGGGACCTGACTCTTAAGGTCTCTTTCACCTCTAGGATATTTGATTTCATGCAACAAGAGTCTTTAATTCCAAGAGTGCTATGCTGTATTTTATGTGCCCATGTGCTCTTCTGAATCACAGAGGACTTTATTACTTAACATTCATTGTCATGGTTTCTGGTAGAACCTTTTTTTTTTTTTTTTTTGAGGCAGACTCTTGCTCTGTCACCCAGGCTGGAGTGCAGTGGAGTGATCACAGCTCACTGCAGGCCTCCCTGTCCTGGGTTTAAGTTACCTTCCTGACTCAGCCTTCGGAGTAGCAGGGACAACAGGTGCCAGCCAACACTCCTGGCTAATTTTTTATTTTTTGTAGAGACAGGTCTCTCTACGTTGCCCAAGTTGGTCTCAAACTCCTGAGCTCAAGCAATCCTCCCACCTTGGCCTCCCAAAGTGTTGGTATTACAGGTGTGAGCCATCATGCCCAGCCCTGGTGTCCTAAGGCCAGAAAATGTTCTTCCCTTGCCCCGAGAAAATCTTAAACCAGTTTTTGAAAACCACTGCAGCTTCACGGATGTTTCTTTCTCTCTCCCAATTTACTTCAATCCACAAATGACTGAATATGCATTTGTTGAGCCCCTGGCCTGATATGTACCCTATGTTGTGCTCTGGGCTGTCACTTAGTCAGTTGTCAAGGCACTCTTCAGAGGCAGGGGGTATGTCAGAGGAATCAGAGGCTCACAGAAGCTAAGTAACTTGTTCAAGGTCATGCAACAAGAAGAAGGTAGCAGAATGCAGTCAAACCCAAGACTTCGATTCTGTGTCCGGGATTTGTTTTTGTTTCTGTAAATTGGGGTTTCCCAAAGTGGGAGAGTCACTCTCCAGTAAACAAGCTGATTTTAGATGGTTCATAGAGAAGGCAGGAAAAAGAATACTGAATCACATGACAGGAAAGTTGTCTCCTTTTCAGTTCTCTCTCAAACATCCTGATTAGTCACATAGAAAATGGGCTTGGTATGAATGTGGCTTCAGTATGTGTTGAATATTTGCTAATATCCAGTCCTAACAAACAGAACTGGTCTCAGGCTTAGCAGCTTCAATAGCAATAGGGTTTAGCAAGAATTTAGTAAGATATATTTTTATTTCATCTTCTATTTTTAGGACATGATGCTTTTCTTCACATTGGTGATATAAATTTGGCTTTTAAGGAAAAAATTAAGGGGGAAATAATTAAAGAAAAGTACTGAATAAATTAGAGTTCAGGTGTCTGAGCAAAATGATACAAATCATGCATGTGCATCCATGGGAATGAGGCTGGGAGCAGCTCCATTGATCCATGCTGCCTCCTTCGCTCACAGGACACATGGGGCTTCATGTGATCATTGTGACGCTAAGTTCTGAATCTGCTCTGTATTTATTTCCCTTAGAAATATATGGAAGCAATGATAATGAAAACCATACTCGCCCCTAGGACCACTGAGGCATCCTTCTTAAGTATGCATTTTATAACCCAAATCAACCCAAGCTAGTAATGGAGTCTTAAAACCTAGAAAAAATATGTACGTTTATTGCAAAAGATAATATCCCATTTAAAACAGTTTAGAAACTTACAAAACCTTACATCAGTACATCGTCTTTAAGAAGGTGCTCTGTAGATGAGCTGGTATTAAGTTCCAAGGATAGTGAGTACGCATTTATGCATTGTTTTTTAAACTACAGAGAAAGCAGCTACATAAACTCCTGCAATATAAGTTGATATATTGGTCTTTTCCTCTTCAATTTTATAAAAGTAATTTTTGCTAAATTAATCTCTCTCCAGAAAACCAGATAACCTCAAGTACAGCATTTCTGTAGAATATCATGGTAGATGTTACATAATATTTTACAAAGAAGCAGTGATTTTCACATGAATAAAGGAGTATACAGTTTTGGTATATGTGTGTATGGTGTCTTAAACATAGAGACGATCATTTTTGTTCATCAGGAAAATGTTTCCGGAATCCTGTTTCCTCATAGTGATTTTAAATATCAAATTTTCAGAAGAGAACTCCTTGCCAGTTTCAGGTCAGTGGCCCAAGCAATGCAGTGTTGTGCTTTGGTGTAGAATCAGTATAGCCTTGTTTGGTTGTATTTCTAGAAATGTGAACATTTTCTAGTCCCACTTTTATTTAATTCAGTTAAGAGTTCATGTGAGGGCCCCAACTAGAAATATGTCTATGACCACATGAGCTTATTAATTTTGTGTGAGATACCTCAAACATCTCTTTATCTTGCCAGGCTAACTTTGGCCAGTGATCCAGCTCAGCTCTGAGTCACTCAGCTCACATAATATGGAGCGTGCTCAGAGTTTATAAAGTAGGAAAGCATATGTTCTTATCTGTATTCAAGGATGGATAAATAGGCCCTGGAAATTTAAGCCATTTGCCAAAGGTTAGTGAGATAGACTGCTTGGTTGCCTGGGTCTCTTAATTCTAGGAACAGGATTATTTACATTCTAGCATGATGCCTGAGAATACAAATTCATATGAAATTAGCGTAAGCAAAGCAAATTAAGATGGAAGCTCTAATACAAGATAAAATTACATAAGAGATCCCCAATGATTTCACTTTATTGGATTATCCTCTATTCTGTTCTTTTCCAATGCTGGGGCCAACTGAGAGTTGATCGTATGGATACAGAGTGGCTTTTAGCCAGTGGTAGCATATCTTATTGAAATGTGGCTTCTTAAGTATGACAAGTGTATTTATCTTAATTCTAACATGACATTATATATTCCGGTCTCATTCTGTGGGCTTAAACATTATACTAGAAACAGAACAAGAACATCTTGAATGACATTCCAAGACTTAAATAGTGCAAGCTGAGATTCCTTGCCAAATTTCCCTTTCATTCTCACTGAAATAGCTTTGTGCAGTGCGTCGCTGTGACAGGGGAAGGTGAAACCGTCAGAGTGGTTTGCTCAATTAGTCTCAATTTGTGGTGGGGTACGTGCATCCCACGAACACACAGGATGCTGTGCTCTGCAAAGATTCTGGCTTAGACACTCGGTCTTCAGCAAAGGGGTTTACAAAATACCTTCTTCGCTTAATGTCTGTTTAGTTTTAGGTTCGCTTTCTAGCAGTGTCAGTCTCACCACAGGCTGATAGAGAATTTAATTCAACCAGAAGGAATCTGAGGCTATCCATCCTACCCCTCATTCCCAAGAGTATGTAGCAATTACTTAATTATATTACTTTAGTTGTTTGTTCAGCCATGCAAGTTTGACTGGATCCATATGTATGTAGGTCTTGTCAAAAGAATGAGCCAGACTTCGAAGAACTCAGACTTTGGGATAGAAAGATATTTAAAACTAAAATGGAAAAACTGTATCCTCATTCCCAGTCCTGCTGCTTTATCAGTCGGGTGACCATGGCCTGATCACCAGGAAGGGAGACTGTGTCGATTAATACATGTTGGAACCTATCTACACGGCTGATTCTGGGATGAAGGGATGAGAACAGCGTTGTGTTTTATCTTAACCTTATTTATGTTACTCATAAGATGTAACTGATGAACAGGCTGCTGAATCTCATGATTTAAATTTTGCAGGTAATTTAACTGTGGTAAGTTAAAGTTCACACCGAAAACAGATTCTACCCATTTGCCAGGTGGTCTCAGGCCCCAGAAGCATAATGGTTTATGGTGGGCCCTGGAGCAGCTACAACTGCTGAAATCCTCTTTGAATTACAGTTGTCCAGCACAGCCACATCAAGTCCCTTAAACCCTGGGGTCACCTGACTCTGCCATAGGCAGAACGGTGCTCACAGCATGAGATGACAGAGGCTTGATTTGGGATCAAGGGGCTAATCAAAAAGGAAAACAACCCAACACACCAGGGTGATCTTGCATTTTATGCCCTGCCCACTTTTCTTGTGCTTATGTATGCTGATATCTTAGAAAACTGCCAGTTTATCTCATTTTTTCTAGGGTACCTGCTAATAACTTAAAACCTCCCTCTATCTTCTGGCTCTACACAACACTTTTTTTTCTTTTGGGTTGATGAACCCAGGATGGGAAGGAAGTACTTAGTGGCATTGCGGAGGTGTTGGAATGTGTAGTGGAGGGTTTTGCTTGTGGTGGGAATCTGGTCTTGCAACTCAGCTTTAGGTCTGGCTGAGTGGACAGGGAACTTGGCAAGTGGTCACTCTAGTGTCTGTGAAGCCCTCAGCAAGCAGTGGCACACACCCAGGTTAAGGATGGTGGTCAGGTGTCCAGTAGCGGCTACATCAGCTCCAAGACTCTTCTGTTTCACAGGCCAAGGAGCTCACAGCCCAGAGACTTTGCAAAGAAGCAGGGCAGGCCTTAAGTGCAGTGGATTTCCCATCTCGGGGAAGTAAGCAGGGGGCTTGGGGATGGTCCCAACCAGCTCAGATCCACCAGAAGCATTTCTTTTTCACCTTCTTGGTTTTCCGCCTTAAGTCCTGCTTTTCCGGGACTGGGGGTTCTGCTGGGGACTTTGGTGGAGGCGATGCCTCTTCAACTGGTTCTGCTTCCTCCAGACTCTGTAGAACTTCATGGAACCTGCCCTCCTGCTGCCGGAAATCATACTCTACACTGAAAAACACAGAGAGGAAGGAAGGAAAGTAAATTTGAATAAGCACAGGCTGATTTAGCATCACTCAGCCCCAACTAACATGGAAGACCATGAGTTTTGGGATCAAATTCCAGATCCTTAGGTACCTACTGGCTGTTTGACTTTGGGAAAATGATGCCACCTCTCTGAACCTCTAGTTCTTCATTGATTGAATTGGAACATGTAATGCCTTCCTCAGAGGGACATTAAGTGTCAGTGAGACACGTAGCATGGCAGCCTGATGGCAAGTGTTCTGTAAATATTGGCTCCAGTTTCTTTCTTAATCATGAATGGTTTTTGTTGCATGTGCTATGCACGAAAACTGTCTCATTATTAAAAGATTTAGGTAATACAGAGGAACAGACAAGAAAACTGCAGCTCAGTTTCATCATCTGTAAAATGGAGGTAATATTAGCACCTGTCTCAAAGGCTTTCTTTGGAAATAATGTGTGTAAACTGAGATAATATAAACAAAGTGTTAAGAGTAGTGCCTGGCATGCACTAAGTCCTCCGTCTGTGTTAGCTCCTATTACAGCTCTCATCATCATCATTAACATTACTCCTACCAATATATTATGACTTGCTCCTTGAACTACATCCCAACCTAAAGATGTATCTTGGGGAGGAAGACTGCCTTGCAGTATTCCTCAATATGATGTATTTAAATATTCCTCTATTGATGGATGGACATTTCCCAACCTCTTTTTTTTTTTTTTTTTTGCTGTTGTTGTAGGCTATTTTACTTGTGTTTTGGTGTCATTAACATACAGACTCCATTGTCCTGCACTGATTATCATAAACATCTGCTAAGTAAAAGTGAAACTGTTGCAAACCAGGGATCTCTGAAGTCAGGGGAGGTAGGAGTTGAGCAGAAGCCTGACCTGTGGGGAGTGGGTGCTGATGCTGTCTGTGGCCTCTGCATGTTTGGGAGTCAGGCCAGCAGGCCTCAGGGGCTCTCAGCCTGCTTCCTCACTCTGGCTAACCCTCCCCAGAACCCAGAGAGCTGGGCCAGAAAGAACAAATCCTCTTAGACATCCCTGTGGGCTGAGCATGGGTTCCTTCTGTCCTTAATTGTCCACTTTCCTCCATAAGGAGGATTTACTTACAGAAGAGTTTTCAGTGCCAAGATGCTTATAAGAAGGCTCTTAAGCTTTTCGATGTGTTTGTTACCTTGTTTCATATCAGGGGTCTCAGAAGGCCCAAGGATAAGGAGCTAGTGTGGGAGGGTGGAAAGTAGAGGAAATGTGATCATGAAAAGAGTGCATTCTCCTTGTTTAGCCAGGAGGAGAATGAAATGTTGCATCTGGAAGACCAAAGACCCCATGTTGGTTTGTGAAGTGGCCAATGCCGTTACGCCCTGCAAGTGCTGAAAAACAGCTGTCATTAAAGGGACATCTGCCCTTGCTTAACTATCCCCATGTCACCTCCCAGGCCTGGGGACCCCAGTTAGTGCTGCTGCAAAGGCATGTTACTACCGTTGCCATGCATGAAAAATGAAGCCCCGAAGGATGCCTTGTCCCTAGCATTCTGAGACGGAAGAGGCAGGGCTGAAGAGTCAGAGGGGCGAGGGGACCCATTTTGTAGCCACACTGATAAGGTGTTAGTTCTTAAGGAGCACTAGGTAAGGGTGTTTGATTTTTTTTTGTTTCTATAGTTTTCATCCAGGCTTTCTTCTCCTCCACTTACATCCCTTCTCTTTCTGTTTTCCCTGGCCCTCTATGGGGCCATAATCCTGGCTGGATGATCTATATAATGGGTGAAACCCAGGCTGTGTTTTTTAAAGCAAAGCTCCACAATTATAACTGTGAGATCTTGGGGAAGTCATTTCCCACTTTCAGTCTGCTGTGTCCTCATTTGCGAAATAAGTAATACATACGCAAAGGATCTCAGTGAAGCTAAATTCTATGTGCATATACAACACACCGCATGGAGTAGGAACCACATATTCAGCCAGTCATTTGACAAATGAGCATCTTTTGTGTGGCAGGCCCTGTTCTGGCTGCTGAGGAAGGAATGGTATGCAGACAATCTCTCTGGCCTCCTGTCACTGCTAATCCAGTGACTCTGTGTCCTCAGTTAATTCTGGCATCAGTAGCTGTTAAGAGACCTTCTAGCCAAAGCTCAGGATTTGCCAGGCCAGTGGGCAGAGGTATCCACAGACTCACATACTGACTCTCTATTTCAGGAGTCTCTATTTCAGGAAAAGCTCTCAAACCATGTTTTTTCTCTGCTCTCACACCACAACAAGAATCATCAACACAGAAGAAGACTATGATCAAATGTGTAGGAGTTTCTCCCCACTACCAAGCAGCGGCCACCAACTGGGTATCTTCCAGTTCAGTTCCAGCACTATCTACCCAGAGATAACATCAGATTCTACAGACTAGGGGCTCAGTCCTACAAGACGTCCCCCTTGTTCCCCTCACTTACAAGTCCGGGCCCCTGGAACTTCTGACCAACTTGCTCCAAGTTGGGGTTTCCAAAACCCTCTCTTTGAGTTTGATTAATTTACTAGAGTGACTCTCAGAACTCAGGGAAACACTTGCAGTTACTGGTGTATCATAAAGGATATTGCAAAGGATACAGACAAAGGGATGCATGGGGCAAAGTGTGAGGGCTTCGGCCTCCTGTGTAGCACTCCTTCCTCTAGGGAGTGGGCAGGACCCACTCTGGAATCAGAGTCTCTTGACCCATAATCGGATTAGAGTCCTGCCTTAGGCAGGTGACAGGAGGACAGGAGAAGGTCAGAGAGAGAGAGAGATTCTGTTCCCTGATGCCTGCTCCTGAGGCCTAACTCACCCAACATTATAACAAAAGATTGTAACAAGGGCTGTGGGAGTTATGAGCCAGGAACCATGGACGAAAACCTATCTATCTATCTATCTATCTATCTATCTATCTATCTATCTATCTATCTGTCTATCTCTATCTATCTATCTATCTATCTAACATCTATGTATCACCTATCATCTATTGATTATTATTATCATTTATTAATCATGTATTTATCATCTACCATCTATCATCTATCATTATTTAGCATCTGTCCATCTATCATCTATCTATCTGGCATCTATCCATCATCTATTCTCTCTCTCTCTATCATCTATCTCTCTATCCATCCCTCACACACACATAGAACACACACACACACGCACGCACACACACACATATATAATCATAACAAGACAATACTGTACCCTTGTTTGTCTGGGGTGGGGAGGAGTGGGTTTCTGCAGTATGTGAGTCTGCACTACCTGCACCTCATTCTCCTCAGTGGAAATCTAAGGAAATGGATCAAGAGCCTATGCAACCTCTGCATTGCAGCAAGGAAGGACTTCAAAATGGTGAGTTGCAAGTTCTGATTCTCACCCATCTAGCACTGGGAACACACATAGTTCACAGATAGGGAACATCTGTATTCACAATGCTCCTAGCTCCTGAAATAGCCCTGCCTTCCCTACTGTGGCAGAAAAACAATCTTCACCACAGAGTACCAGATGGAACCAAAGAGTGGGTACCCTCTCTAGAATTTTACGAGTCTATGATTTTCCGGTACAAAACATTCCATCCATTATCAGTCCATCCTGCTCTCGGCCTGACACTGTACCAGGTTCCAGGAACACTATAGCAAGTTAGACAGATGTGAATACTAAAGTGTTTGAGATAGGTGATTAAATAACAATTGCTTTCAAAAGATACTTCTTATTTCTCTCAACTCCTCCTACTTTATTTACAGTTTTTCACCCATATGCTTCTACTAAATTATGTAAACACACACATGCACCAGCTGCCTTCCTCCCCTTATATGTAATGTCTCTGACTTTGTAATTAAAGTAAACAGACAACGACAACAAACCACCTGAGTTTGACAAGATTTACAAGCGTCCTAATACCTGCTTAAGAAAAATAGGACGGGTGCTGTGGCTCACACCTGTAATCCCAGCACTTTGGAAGGCCCAGGTAGGAGGATTGCTTGAGGCCAGGAGTTTGAGACCAGCCTGGGCAACGTAGCGAGATCCCGTCTCCACAAAAAATAAAAAATTAGCCATGTGTGGTAGTGCGCACCTGTGGTCCCAGCTACTGGGGAGGCTGAGGTGAGAGGATCACTTGAGCCCGGGAAATTGGGGCTGCAATTAGCTATGAGTGCACCACTGCACTCCAGCCTGGGTGACAGAGTGAGTCCCCATCTGAAAAAGAAAATGACATTAATGCCCTGGGTGATTCCAGAATGTATAGAACCGGCAGGCCTGGGTAGAAAAGACGAGGAAATGGAAACTTTGTCTCACTGTCATGACTTGAAGCGCAGCCCAATATAGAGGGTGGAGTGAGGCCCCACAGATGAACACTCTTGGGTTTGAATGGATACTCTAACACTTCCTGACTGGGTCACCCTGGGCAAGTTTCTTCTCTTTCTACAGCTCAGTTGAAGTTGGGAGTTACACTAGCTACCGCACTGGCTGGCTGTGCAGATGGGGCACAGTCAGAGGTGAAGTCACTGCACACGGAGCACGGTCTCGGCCCATTCCTCTTTTCTTCACTAGGTCCTTTGCCTTCCCGTCTCAGCTCCTTGCTTCCACCTTCAGCTCTTCAGTAGCTGCACACCTTACCAGCCGCATCGTTCCTCACCCCTCCCCACCATCTACATTCAGGGAAGAATACACTTTTTATGTTTCTATGGAAACACAGCAGGGTTCCATTATAATCACTGGGATTTAGGGAGCTCCCCACTCCCCTCTTGTGACTGCCCCCACTAGTCTTGACAATTTAAAGGGGATTGAAAGTAACTTTCTTTTCAAGGCCAGGGAAATAGCAGAGTATGGAGAAGTGTGCATACTTTGGAAAGAAATTGATTAAGTTTTTTAGGCCAAAGCAATTTATTAACAGAAAGGAAAATTGCCACTTTTCTTCTTATTCATCTGTTTGACACACTACAGTTTAGTTTGGAAGGGAGAGGAGGGAGTATATTTTGCTTTGGTGG